GTCATACACTTAACACACCAACATGCGCCGTACACTCCCTTCAACCGAGTATTTTCAGAGACGCAATGGCGCTGGCCGTTGCCGAAGCCGCGCGTCAGAACTTCTGCTGGCGCTTTGCTGGTGTTGGTGAACTACGGATCTGACCTGACAGGACGCCTAGAGATCGACACATGTGTGAGGCGAGTTTAGAACTAGCAGTGCCTTCGATCGTATTGCTGCCTGGCTTCGTATTCCACTGGCAGGTCACAACAAAATTGACGCGTGAGAAATACCCTCCATGAGACGAGATGCTAAAGGTTTTATGAGCAGGTATTTACGGACGTGCTGATGCGCGCCAGGGGGGGGGGGGGGGGGGGGCAGGCATCGGGCCACAGCCGCTCCCTCGGACCACGGCCACGCCCGCCGCCCTGGAAAGCCCGAGTCTCGGCCTGGACCTACCAGCAGGATGGCCGGCGAGATGCGCGACTGTCGTTTGGAGAGAGGAGGGGAGTGGGACGTCCCACGCCGGCGAACGGAGGCGAGCCGCCGCTCCTGCCGGGCCAGAACTTGCCGCCCACGTAGCTGGCGTGGCCACTGACAGTGATCAGGTCCTGAGCAGGCAGCACGCGAGTGTGTAACGCGCTTTTAGTCTTTCTGGCACTGAACACCGTATGGCCAATGGGGTGGCAAAATTTGAAGAAAAAAAGTTCGGTTATGCGGGAAGCATACCTGAATGACGTTAAAACAGTCTGTACGAAAGATTCTGCACATCTTTGCGGGTGTCTAGTTCGGCAACTAGGGGTTTTTAGGTCTTGAGAAAGAAAGGGCTTCAAACTGCACTGAATGATCTTCGAAGTGGTTATTTCAGTTCAAAACCCCATACAGATATGGAATACTTTCCTCAGACGTCAACCACTCACCAAGGCGTCATGGGAAACATGACACTGATCGAAGAGCTCAGATACCCCTGACGACATTTCAAAGAGTCACACCCGAAAACCCCCTTAATACGCGCTAGGGTGGTCGGTTGAATACAACGCCCTCGGGTAGAGGTCAAGTTGAACCCTCAGAATCGTGAGAACCCTGTGATCTCAAGAACAACTGGGGCTAGAGACACCAAATTCGCATGATAATTGACTTGTATGGAACTCATTTGTGCCAAATTTTAAGGTTCCTATGACATGACCTTCCAATCAAATAATCCAAAAATTCAACCTTCAGATGGGTGTCCAAAGTGCCCACAGACATACCTCTTGGACCACAAGGATCCAAGACGCTTCGTATTGAGTAAGCCGGCTCTGAATGTAATGTTCAATATTATCTATTCTGATCTCTAACTTGCAGCAAATTTTCGCATTACCTTTCTTGATTCTTCTTCGGTGGCATATCTCAACACAGCACGAGCGATTTGGCCACCCATGTATTGTATACAGTAAAGTATCGCAGAAACGTCATGTTGTATATATATGTCCTTATTAACGGTGGGTCTCGCTGATGAGTCAGTCTCACTGATGCGTATGCGTCGCCAACGTTACGATGCGTCTTACCTCAAGTGGGCCTGGTTTTATGATCATTGCTATCCAATTGGTTGCATGTAAAACATGCAATATTCCGTCCAGCTTGCTTGCGTTCAACGGAACTTTTGATATGGTCTCTATTCCTTCCTCAGTCTAGGTAAGAAAATTATATTAATGAAAACAGATTCAAGCACGCGTTGAAGAAAGCCCTCACAAATCACATGCAATTTAACACACCCATCTCTCTAAGGCAACGAAAGTAGAAAAGATGACTGATTTTAACATTTAAGCCACATGTTAATAATGCAGACCGTTGAAAAATAGCGCATGCAGTGCACTCACAGCTTCGATTCGATTTCGATGCATTTCTTCTAAACGTTACCATTTCACATGACACCTCACTGCCACCGCGTATGCCTCTTAAACATGCGGATAGCTGTTCCACACTTCAGAATCGATTCAACAGCGACGTGAACGGCATATCGCAACACTAAAATGATAAAAATGCTAATAAAACTAATGGTCTAGCAATAAATATATAGTCTAATGATAGTCTAATAATAAATAAATAAAAAACACTAATAGCCTGATATCAGCAAAGCTCCCATTAAATACAAGCGGGCTGATAAGAATATCATCTTTTTACATTTACGATTTTCCAGCCCGGTAACGTTTTCAAAAATAACAAATCGATTACAATAAGTCAGTAAATTGGACACCAGTACTGGACATGAAAGCACCAGTAATTTTTGTTATGATTATTCAAATCAATGCTCCGTGCGATAACACCGGTTACGTAGCATCAGCGAGAGATGTATGCCGTTGTATTACCAGATCATAGCCAGCAAGGGGAGTTTGGCCAAGGATTTTGTACTTAGGGATCAAAAACCAATATCAGGAATGGGGTTCCTTTTATTTCCCTAGTGTCGCATGCACGATTAAGTATAGCTCGTTTCCACAAAATCACTGCTTCATAACAATGATAGAACTTCAAGTGCACAATAGTCCTTCAGGCCAGGGCGCACCTGCTTCTTAACACATGCAACTAATCCACGATTGATATAAACGTCTATGTACTGATCAGCGTGTAAACCCTGGAGCCCACCTGCAGGGTTTCCGTGCCGCTGACGCTTCGTGGAGTGCCTGGGAAACCAGAGGTGCTAGGTCAATGTCCCTCGGTGCACGGCCTTGCAGTCCAGTGTGAGAGGACCGGCGACGCCACATAGCCTCAGCCCCTGAATGCGCTCGTAAAGCCCCAACGACACCGGCGTCCGCCTGCGCCTGTCGTAACGATCCGTACGGCTGTTGAGCAGTCGGTGTGCCTGTCCTGTGGTCCATGCGTCTGTCCTGTAGACTGTGCGTCTGGCCTGTAGTCCTTGCGCCTGTCCTGTAGTCCGTGTGCCTGTCCTGTAGACCGTGCGCCTGTCCTGTGGTCCGTCCACCTGTCCTGCAGTCCGTGCGCCTGTCCTGTAGTCCGTGCGCCTGTCCTGTGGTCCGTCCGCTTGTCCTGTAGTCAGTGCGCCTGCCCCGTAGACCGTGCCGTCTGTCCTGTGGTCCGTCCACCTGTCCTGTAAGTCCGTGCGTCTGCCCCGTAGACCGTGCATCTGTCCTGTGGGTCCGTCCACCTGTCCTGTAGTCCGTGCGCCTGCCCCGTAGACCGTGCGTCTGTCCTGTGGTCCGCCCACCTGTCCTGTAGTCCGTGCGCCTGCCCCGTAGACCGTGCGCCTGTCCTGTGGTCCGTCCGCCTGTCCTGTAGTCCGTGCGTCTGCCCGTAGACCGTGCTCTGTCCTGTGGTCCGTCCACCTGTCCTGTAGTCCGTGCGCCTGCCCCGTAGACCGTGCGTCTGTCCTGT